TTTAATGATGTATAGAACGAATTGTTGCTTAAAGAAAGCAAATAACTTTTACATTGAGCATACATTTTTTTTTTGAGGGATACTTATTTTCGGGTAATATTAAAAAATGGAGGTGCTTATTTTTGGATGGTGCTTATTTTCAGGACTATATGGTAAATCAATAATATTTAAATATTTTTTAAATAAATAATTAAAATTTATTTTATTTTTAATTAAATTTTTTTAATTAGTTTATTTGGCATTATTTGATTTTATTACTTATAAAGCTTGTAAAGCTTAGGTTACTTTACTTTAAACTAATATGTAAAAAAATTAATTATTCTTTACTTTTTATTATATTGTTATTATATTCTAATACAATCTAATCTTAAAAATATTTAATAAATATATTAAAAATACATAAAATAATATTTTTCTAAAATGTTATAAAAATTAATTTTGAAGGATTGAGGTTATATATTGCTTAATATAGTAATAGCAGAAAAAATGGCAATAACGATTATATGATTAAATTAATGATTTGAGTAATATTTAATTGGATAATGCAAATTAATTTTTTGTACTGTATATTCATTTGTTAGGTTATTCTGATTAATATACTAAAGAAATTGGATACAAAAATACTTTATGACTAGTATATCATAATAATGTAAAAATTTTCTCTTAAAAAATGCTGAAAGTTTTTTAAGTTGTAAAAAATATGAAATATAAATGAATTACATAAAATTATTAAGTTTCTATTAAAGAATATCATGTCAACAACCTTCCAGTTAAAAAAAAAATAAAGATTTAAAACAATGTCATTGATCAGAAGTTCAGGATATCCAAAAATTTTTAAGTTCAGTTTCATTTTAATCGAACTGCTCATTTTTTATAAAAATGCAATAAGTTTCAAAATTGCAGTCACTTTAATAATAATTATCCAGGCCTTAACATAGCCACTCATGCAGTTTGTGAAAAATTTAAAAGTTTGATTATTAAATTTGTATCTCTAAAAAACCCTCTAAATCTATGTTTTATAATCCTTGATTTGGCATCATGTTTAACAAACCTAAATTTTATAGAGAACCCATAGATAATTTTTAAGAAAAATGTAAAAAGAAGGTCAGTAAACAAATTTATGAAAAAAAGCCGTTATTTAAAAGACTTTTAGTAAGATTTTATGAAAATTATGGGTAATATAGATCAAATTCTCTGCCTTAATTTAAATAAGTAGTATGTAAAGAAAAGTAAAATTAATAATTAAAAAAATGGTATTATAATTTAGAATTGATGAAAAAAATTTTTTTATAAGATATAAGTGATGAAATTTTCGAGTTTTAAATCAGTGACATTTAATTGGTCGTATTATTATATATATATATATACTTTTAAGATTTTTATAAGAAAAAAAAAATGTTTGCTCAATGTAAAAGTTATTTGCTTTCTTTAAGCAACAATTCGTTCTATACATCATTAAAGGGTAATTAATTTTATTCTAAACTCAATTATTATGTTAACTGACCTGTTTGTACTAAATAAAAAATGTTTTGAATATAGCTCGTTCATTTCATACGTCATTACTTTTACAAAAACGTCATTCAAAAGATATAAAACGAAAAAATCTTATGAAAAAAGTTTCCAAATTACAACAAGAAAAATTGCAAAAACCAAATGTCATAACAGGAGTACCAACGACATTTACAAATTCATTTTTACGTCCTTCACAAGTTTACGCTTCAACTACAGCTGTACAAGCTAGTAAATTATCATCTGAAAATAATCATCAATACAGGAATTATTTTTTAGACCAAAAGGATGAAGAATTTTTATTTAATATTACACCAACTATTATAACAGAACATTCTACGCAAGGAGATCAAGTTAAAATCGAATCAAGAGAATTAGAAAAAGTTCAAATACTTAAAAATCTTACTAGTTTACATAATGCTAATTCTAAAAGTATTTTGTTGTATAATATTCAATTAGCGATTAAAGAATTTGCTAGAAAAGAAGGCGATACCGGTAGTGCCGAGGTTCAAGGTTATTAAAATTTAAAAGGTTCATCGTTTTTTATAAAAAAAAATTCATTGATCTCTCTTTACTAAGTATTTTTATTTTATCTTATTTTATTTTGATTTATTATAGCCGCTGTTTGGACTGCTAAAATTTTAAATCTTAATGAACATATTAAAAATAATCATAAAGATAAACATAATTATAGAGCTTTAAGACAAATGGTACATAAGAGACAGAGTATTTTAAAGTATTTGAAAACGCAAGATTTAGGTAGATATTTCACTTGTCTAAAAAAATTAGGCTTAGATCAAAAATCTATCGAAGGTGAAATTGTTATGTAATGAAAGAATTACTCCGGTAAGGAATTTTGTCTGCGATCAAATTTTTTTTAAAAAATATTAAATTATCATTAACCCTTTTTTTATTAATTAATTCGGATATTTATTTTATAAAGAATATTATTAAACATACCAATTGCTTATTGGTATATATTTATATAGTATACAAAAGTAAGATGACATCGTTTTTAGGGGAAAAAAGAATTTTGTTAGTGTATATGTTATTGAATTAATTCAGAATGTGGGAAAGTAGGGATTACGAAGGGTTGGAAGAAATTTATACATAACAGGAAAAATAATACAATAATAATTATATAAATTATACGGATGATGATGTTGCTTGTGATGATTGTTCCTTTTTACGAATTTCCTCAAAATATGGATGTTGAAGTGCATCTTCCGCACTAATACGCTTTTCTGGTTGGTATTCTATTAACTGCTGCTAGCGACAAATAATTATATTTTCCAAAAAAAAAAAAATTTAAAACAAATCAACTTCTCATATGCAAGAAAGTTTAAAACCACTTTTTCGTAAAAACAATTTTTAAACTCACACTTAGTAAATCGATTCCTGATGGATCAAGTTTCGGAAGAATTGATTCTAATGGAATTCGATTATAAATAGCAAAATCGTTCTACAAAGAGATCACGGTTTATTAAGAATCATAATAAATATTTCCTGCTCTACTACCGGATAAACATACTTTATATTCCGGCAATTGTGATACCCTTGGCCACGTTTCCTCTGTTGGAGTTCCTAGAACTGTGATAACGTGGTTAAAGAAATATTAAGCTTGAATCTTTTATTTTATCAATAAAAATTAAAATTAAAGGAAAGGATATTTAAATATTCGCAACAGCTGATCTTTAATTGAACTTCCCGGAAACAATGGTCGACCAGAGGCCATTTCTGAAAAAATAAACGAATTATTATTATTGTCGTTATTTATTTAAATATTTTTTTTTAACAAATATTATAAATAAAATTAGGTAACCTGCAAATATACATCCTGCAGACCAAACATCAATAGACGTTGAATATTGCCTTGATCCCATTAATACATCTGGTGCACGATACCATAACGTTACCACCTATACCGAATTTTACCACATTTACCAAAATATATATTAAATTCGAATTTTATTTAACTAAAAATTCATTACTTAAAAAACAAAAAAAAAAAAAACAAACCTCATGTGAATAACTTCTAACGGGAATTCCAAATGCGCGCGCAAGACCAAAATCTGCCAATTTCAGTTCTCCTCGCTTAATAAATATATATCAGTAAAAAAAGAAAAATATATATAATATATATTATGTTTATAAATATAAAATAAATAAAGCTAAATCTTTTTCAAAGTCCACCTTGTTGATAAGTAAATTCTGTGGTTTCAGATCCTACAATTTTTTAATTTTAATTAGTGTAGTGTAAAATATGTAAGTTCTCAATTTGAAAATTTCTAATTAATAATTCTACCCTATGCAAAACTCGATGTTCATGACAAAATGCGATACCCTTCAGAAGTTGATACATTAATTGCTATAAATAAATTAAAGATTAATATATTTGATTTTATAAAATATTTCAAAATCAATAAAATCATTATTATAATCACTTTAATTGTGTCTTTATCCAGATCACCTCCGTATGTATCTAAGAATTTCTTTAAATCCGAATCCAAATATTCAAAAACTAACGTTAACTTCTTTTCCGTATGTAAGACATCATAAAGTCTTTAGAAAAATTATATAAATTAATTCGCACAAATTAATAAAGATTTTTCTTTTAATTTTCCTTTTGAATCGATCATTAACTAGATAATTCACCTCACTATATTCGGATGTTTTAATTCTTTCAATAATGATATCTCACGAATTGCAGTACATGGTACCTATCAATGAAAAAAAAAAAACTGATTAAAATTGGACCGATTGAATCAATTAGAGAATCAATTGATTGAATCAGAAATTATGCTGTACCCCTTCTTCTTCATTATCTAACCTTATCCGTTTCAATGCGACCACTTCATTTGAATCCCGATTCTGTGCTTTATAAACAATACCATACGTTCCTTTATTTCGAAGAAGACTACCGAATATTAGCAAAAACTTAGCTTGAATAATAGAAAACATTTAAATAAAATATAACCGACCTTCTCCTAACTTTTCAATTTTCTGTTAAATAAAAAAAAAATAGTTAATGGACGAACTTTGAAAAACCGATTTTTAAAAAAAGAAAAAGGTAAATATATACTTGATATTTATCCATTTCAAAATTGCAATAAAGAAAATTTCACAGGCTATCAAAAAAAAATTAAAAAGATGTCTACAAAAGGGAAAAAATTGTCGAGAAACTGAAGTAGGAAGGTCTTTGAGAATGTGTTTGAAATTTTTTTGCTATAAATTCCGTGGTACCATGAAAATTCTTTTCTGGTAAACACCATACTTTATACTATACTAAACATCGTAATTTTTTTTCATATCTTTATGCTAACGTAATTGATGTTACAACTGTTGCACAATGGGAAATTTTTCACGTCATGTGATACATTCCTCCTTATCTTTTTATCTTTGACAAGATTTGAAAGAAGATAAGCTGCGGGACCTTCACATTCCACCAAATGTTCAGTTTCGTAAAAATCAGCCCTCCTGTAACGAAAAAAAAAAAAAAAAAAAAAAAAAGTGCATTATTTACAAATTCATAATACAATAGTCACCATTCTTTCAAAATTTTTTTTCTTTTTTTTTCCTCTCTCTCTCTCTTTCTCTCTTTTTGTACATGAATGAAGAACAATGTCTTATATTTAATAATAATAAGATTTCGAATTTGTAAAGAAATAGTGTGAAAGACAAAAAAGAGTTACCTTAGATTATACAATTACATGCATGCACAATATCGGTGACAATTTGCAAAAAAAGAAAAATTATTGTTAATCCATAACAAACAACATTGCAAAGTCAATTGTTTTCTTGCATTAGCATCACATCATATTACTCGCTTTCATCAATCATTGTAATCAGTTGACCTTGAAATCGTACAAAAAGCCTCCGCCTAAATACAATTAACTTAATCTACACCCTGCAACTTTGCTACATTTTTTTCCTCTTATGGATAACGAACCATCATCATCTATTATTGCCCCTGAATGATACGATTATAAATATGATGATAGTTGAACGGTCTTTTTTTTTTTTTTTTTCACCGGAAATCGAAAACACTTCTCAAAACACATTTGAAACAAAAAGCACATTTATTACGAATAATCTTTTTAACTTGCAATAATAATAAAAAAGATGGTTAACGGTTTAGAAGTTAGATATGAAGAAAAGCATGGTTATGGTTTATTTGCCACGAGAGATTTCGAAAAAGGCGAAATTATATTATCAGAAACTCCCCTTATAAACACATTATCTTCAAAACGTGATCGTACTTTCGCATGCACATTCGATGTTGACTTGAACGTATTCTCAATTTTCAAAACATTCTTTGACGCTTCTCCAGAAGTTCAAAATGTCATATTAAATAAGTTCTATCTTCCTCCTCAAGACCAATTTGACTCGGCTTGGTCTTCAATTGGGTCCGCAAATATTGATAAAATCATTAAAACTTGTATAAACCGAGTTGAAGCTTGGTCGGACATACCTGAAGATACTTTTCGTAAAGTTTTCATGATTTTCACTTTGAATTCTCAAGATTTCAGCTCGGATGGTTCTGATGGTTCAGCTATTTTCGTATTGGGTAGTAAGATGAATCATTCTTGTGAAGCAAATACTTTTTACCAGTCTATTGATGGCCAAGGTATCCATACTGCGGTTGAAAGGATTTCAAAGGGCGAACAAATTACCACAGATTACCTTGGTAAGGATAGCATCCTCTCAAAAAGTGTAAGGCACATGATTCTTAAACGTACAAAGTTGTTCGCATGTGAATGCCCGAGGTGTACCGAAGGAATGGATGTGTCACGTGGTTTGCCTTGTCCAAATTGTTCTGGATGTATTCAGAACCCGAGAAGGATGAGCGGAGGATATATTTACTGGTATCCCATGTTATCCACCACAAAGACTTCAACGGCACAGAGTTATTGGTTATGTGATATGTGCAATTCACGTTTCGAAGACAACAGTCCAAGACTTCATAACTTATTTACAAGAGAAGCAGATTTAGTGCAAAGGGTGATTGCTCTCGAAGAAAAATTAAACAACAATCCATTTATAAGTCGTTCTCAGTTAACTGATCTCTACAACACTTGCTTAACTCAACTTGGTACTCGTCATTGGACTTATGTCATCATTCTCAAGATTATCATTCTTTTCGATGCATCCAATGGTAAATTACAATCAAAGAACACTATAATTGAACACCTTGATCAAGTTTTGACCTGGTATGAAAGAATTGATTTTGACGTTCCAAGATATTTAGGCGTTTTTGTATTGAGAGTGGCTAGTGTATTAATTCAAGCTGGTGAATATGCTATTGGGTTATTCTTCCTTGAACGGGTATTTGATGATTTTGAATATGGCGACACATTCGTTCAAGATTACAAATTCGCTTTGGATCTTATGGCCAAATGTCGTACTGCAATAGCACATACAACATATATAAAAGATAATGTGGTTACAAACCAGATAAACTGTGTTGTATAATTGTAGATAGATTAAGGGACTCTTTTATTTTATTTTTAGATAGGTTTTCATTTTATCCTAGAAAGTTTTTATCCGCGAAACGCAATTTAATTATGTAAGTTCTTTATCCTCTGATATTAGAAATTTACCGTAAATATGTAAAATATTTTTAAAATTTTTTGATTAATTAGTAAATATTTAGAATAATTATATTTTTTTTTTTTTTTTTGATTTCTTTTTGTATATTTTCAATAAAAAAAAAATAAATAAAAAAAAAAAATAAGTCTATTATTTTAAACGTGTTTGACGAATATCCAAAATTTCTTCCGAGAGAAAATTCTATTTGTCACCTTATTTGTCACACGGATAATTTCGGCCAGGTTCAGTAATTCCGGTCAAAAATCACGTGAGTGAAAATGTGTTGGCGATTACCGTTTTTCTGAGATTTGCCGACCAGCGTCAAACGGAAATTATTTGATTGGACTTAAAATTGCAATTTCTCTTTGATATACTCGCTATTCTCATATTACACGTTCAAAATGATCTGAAATAATGATAATAATTAATTAATAGTTATCGTCGTTCAGCTAATAGGCACCAAATAGAACTAAATGTAACTTATATGCAAATTACTACGCGTCTTTTATTGTAAGAATGAACATTTCTTTATAATAACGATATTACTAAATAGAATTCTTCAGGTAGATAGGCATATATATAAATCTTGTTCACCATCACTCTATTTTACTTTTCGAAATCCGAGAATGATTAATGGTCAAATTTATTTTCCTTTAGATACAAGATTTCAGATAGAGATTGATTTTTATATCATACGTAAAAATTATATTACAAAATGGATCAAAATTTATTAGTCATTAAATAAGAAATTAATAATATTACAAGGCATAAAATACAAAATAATACAATTAAAAAAATATACATGTTTATATATATTTTTTTTATATTAGTTTTTTTTCCCTTCTAAAGAATTATCATACTTTTAATAATAGATTAGATTTTATTACCACCAGTTTTCATCATCACTGGCAGAATTAACTTCATCACTATTGTCGCTTTGTTCAGTATCGGAATCTTCTTCTTGTAAAACAAAAAAAGGTCTTGTTCTTGGAAAACTATTTTTCTTTCTTAACATCACATCTGCCATTATAGTTATTTTTTCTCTCAATGTTCTTTTAGCACGATCAAACATTAAATTATTGCCAGCACCTTTCTCAATAGTATTTCCTTTTGTTATATTCCATCTTCTAGACGTACCATTTTTTGTTTTTCTTCCGAAAACCACATTATTTAAATATAAATAAATTCTATTTAATACACCGGAATGTAAAAATCCATTTTTACCACCATTTTGCCAACATCCACGTTGTTCTAAAAATTCTTCCAATTCACTTCTTGTCATTGGTCTATAACATAAACTTGTGCGATAAGCTGGTGAAAAATATTGTGGATATTTAACTAAATCTGGCATTTCTTTATGATTTTTCCTCCATAAATCTTCCCAAAATAAATACCACCATTGATGAACACGTGATAAATTTATGATTCGCATCCTTTCGTAAAGATATATAATACTTGGGTATTCACTCTCCGGAATGGCTTGAATAAGTTTATTTTCTTCGGTTGTCATCAATAATGCTGGAAGAGACTCCAGAGGTATTGATGGATTATCATAAATATTAACGAAAAATCCATATGACAGTACTTCCTCCTTCCATTGTGCCTCATCTCGATAGTATTGACGATATTGATCCATTATCCTTTGAATTTGCACCAAACCTTCTTGTACAACCTTTTGATTATCCGAAAAAAACTTTTGTAATTGAAAAGTCATTTGGAAATCATCGGTGATGCCAAGGACATCATGTCCCATAACACATTCATGTGAAGAAAAAGAAATTGTAATATTAAATCCTGGATTCATATTATGATCGCACCACTTTGATACTTTATTTCGCTGTATCGATAAAATTCCATGATGATAATGAATCGAATCCCCCATTTTCTTATCGATATTAGGTTGATTAATATCACTTTGGTTACAAGGCCCCAAGACCATTTGTCCTTCTAAAGCTCTCAACATATGACGAACGAGACGTCTCCTTCGAATCTCTTTGCTCTCATTCTGTTGGACAAATCGTTGAATTTCCCATTCTTTTGTTAGAACCAAAACACTTTCGTCGTCGTCATACACTATAACAACGGAGAAGGGAAAAGGAACTGCATAAGCTTTGCCAAAGCAAGTCTTAATTTTAGGTACCAAGAATTCTGGTGCGTAATACATGTCAGGTCCAACAAAATTGTTGACAATACTAAGTCTTAATTTTGCGAGAGATTCTGGTAAGGGAGCCATTGCTGAGATATAATTATTAATTCCAATTTGTCTAATAATTTTCAAATTCTCAACATGTCGTTCAGCAACAGTTCCAGAAAAGTTCAATAGATATGGAGGTCTGAATGGGCTTTGAGAAAATGCTACTGTTTTACCATCGCGCATTTTAAATTGTTCAGAAGTGAGCAGCAATGTTGACCATGTTTCTTGCCATACTCTTCGCTTGATGTGTTTGGCGAAATCCAATTTTGGAGAATAGATATTCAAAGAAAAATCCAATCGCTTTCTCATAACCTTGACAAAACTTTTGTAACGATTAGTTTGCACTATTATATACCAAACGACAAAAGCGCCAACGATAAAATCTGTAGCAATCATCGCATAGCTTATTTGTTTTCCAGGTCCAATTTTAAGAACAGTTAACAACACCAAAACACTTGTTATGACATAACCAGCTCTTGACCAATATTCGCTTAAATTCTGGCCTTTATCAAGGAAAGGTTCACTACGCCAATGAATTAAAAATAAAATAATCATCAATAGAATTTGAAGACTAGAACGGATTGTATCAACACGCACCCTTGTAAATGATCTAAAGAGGCAATTGTCTTTTGATATCACAGATACAAGAAAGATTAAACAAAACTTATTGACCATAATGAATGTCTTATAAGCTGCCCACTTATGATTATATACTATGAGTCGGTAAAAAAAAACAAAAAGGATTTAATTAATTTTTAATTGATTAATATGATTAGACGACAATAATAATAATATCTCACCACTATACAAGAAATTATAAGGACATGTATCTTTCATCAATAGTTTTCTGTACTCCGCTTCTGTATTATGTCTAGTTTCACCCAATTCATCATATTTGTCCACTCTTGGGAGATTTTTATCAACCAAACGTTTTAATGCAATAGGGAACCAGAATGAGAAAACACAAATTATTATTATTGCAACCACAATGATAACTGGTGAAAAGTTCAAATCATCTTTGTTCATGCTGGTGACATAACAGAAATCCTTCGGATCGCGAAATTTATCCGAACCACTTCCAAAATCGGGGAAGTCCACACCATTATCGTAGGGGTTAGTGATAGGCCAAAATGATTCCGACCATACCAGCGCATCAATAGATAATTTTGAGAGTGGAAGATAAAGCGTGGTAAGGGTGAATACTATAACAACGTTATGTCTTCGCTTTGATTCAGGACGAAGATTCCAGGGATGGGATTCGAGACCCTATTAATTTTAATCATAAGTTAAAAAATCAATAATAATTCATATATTTAAATAAATAGTTTAATAGTTCAGAAATTATTAAAAGACCTCAACATCGGCATTCGGATCATATTTAGTCATTATTCTGAACCAATATAACCCTCCCAAAACCATAACACAGAAGACGAGGAAAAAAGTAGTCCCATTTCCGAATACGCGATCCAAATTAAAACTCAACAAATTTGGTATGACATTTAGTATGATCTTCACCCAATATCCAAATATTTTTGCAGGTACAAATGATAGAATCAAAGCCAAAAATTGTACAAAATCCCTAAAAATTTCAAGCTTCATCCAATTCATTCCAAATGCTGTAGTTTGACCAGATAAAACAACATCAATTGCAGTTTCAAGTACTCTTTGACTTAGAAGTCCATCATTCTTTACAATGTTAAGCTTTAGATCATCTAAACAGATTCCATCAAGGATTTGATTCATCGGAGGAAACATGTCTTCTATATTTTTTTCATCAGACTTTCCATATCCAATAAAATTTTCATATTCCTCAGCTGTCATCAATTCCTTCGGTTCAGAGAATTCAGTTGGAGGAAGAGATAAGATAAATTCGTCAAGATGAGGTAAATGTATCCATGGGGCGCCAGGTTTAAAAAGTTCATTTGTTTCAGATTCATTAAATGGATTTATACTAAATTTTGTAATCATTGCAGGATCTACATCTACATCCGCCATGGCAACAACTTGTTGTTGGGGCTCATCTTTGGATATTGAATCAACTCGAGTGAAATCAGGTACTGTCATATTATTTTTGCGAAACGCGTCATTAAATTGATGATGTCGATATCGTATTGACAAATCTGGTAAGGAATGATTGATCCTCCCATATTCTACCGAAGAAAGACTATGAGGAACAAGCATGGACATATTAGTTTTTGATGTATTATATTCTGGCAAGTCATGTTTCGTATTTCTAAGCGTTTTCTTTTTAATGAAAGGATTGTTCTTGAGAGTGCTTACAGGAGAAAGTTCGTCTCGTTCAAGTCGCGTAGTGCTATATGGTGATTTAGGGATCTGAACAGGCTTGAGATTTTGACGTTTCCAAGATTTTATGCCACCTTTTGAATTGAATGTTTGAAAGGATCCAGTCTTTCCTAATGAAATTGTCATAGTATATTCGTCATTATGGACATCTCGTGATGTAGTATTTCGTTTCGAATCATTAGTGCCATCTGAATTGTTGCATTTATTTGGCTGAAAATAATTTCCTAGTTTTTCAATAATTTGAATTGTTCCACTAATAGGCTTTGTAAACATTGGATTAATTGTGGAATAATTTTCGTTTTCCTTGGGAACTGAACGAGATTGTTGCATGCTATTACTCTCGTGCATTTCCATAATAAAAGTATTTGTATCTCGTGCAGAAGGTATTGATTGTCTTTTCTTATCCTCAGATTTTGGACCAACCACAACTTTGTACATGTCAGATTGATCTGTACTCATCATATCCAAGAAAGGATTATAATTTTCATTTCCATTTCCTCCATCATTAGAATTAAATTTACCGTCTAAGGACGAATAAAACGGATTTAAATTCAAATTTTTCAAAGATTCACTTGGCGATTTTAGGAAACCAAATGGATTAAACGAATTTGATGTTGTCTTAGGCGTTGTACCATTTGTAATTTCCCTATTTGTAAATGTTTTATTCTGTAAAGGAGTATCTAATTGTTTTGATTTTGAAGCGTTATTATTCTTATTTTGATTAAATGATGATGATGCTTGCACGGATGTGGAAGTATGTTCTGGTTCTGGATCAGATTGTTCAATATTTGACTTTTTTTTTGATTCGAATACCTTCTTTTGAGTTGATTTACTATTAATGTCCTTGAGAAATTGAGAAGATGATGACTCTTGATTTGTAAGCTGAATCGGAGAGATGGGTGATGACATGAAAGTTGGTTCATTAGTGAACTTTTTCGATGAGATATTCAAAGGTTCCGGAATGCGTTGTTTCCGCTTTGACTTTGAGTTTAAAGTCGGAGAAGTCGGAGTAGAAGGTGACAAAGGTTCTGGAATAGCGTTATGAAGATTTATCAGGGACGATGATGTTAAAAAAGTCTGACTTCGTTTAATTGGAGCTAAAGTCGGAGACGTGGGTGCTGAGTTGTTCGGAGATGAAGCCTTTTCATATATATTTACAAGATTGGTTACTTTTCGAGCTGGAGGTAATGGACCGATTTGATTAAACGCGTCTTTTGTGTTTAGCACATGATCACGTGGACGCGTTATGTAACTATTTTTGGCGGGAACTGGTGGTATGGATTTAAGGGCCATTATAGAAAGTGGACTTGAAGTGTCTTTATTGGAAGAGTCATCATTCTTTGACAAAGAATTTCCCTGATCATTTTCTTCGGATATTAATGAATGTATGTTATGGGTAGGAGATAAGGAAGGTGAGGATGATGTGTCCTTTGATTTTGGGATAAAACCTTGATTTTGCGGATTCCGCTGAGGAGGTGAAGAGGAAATATTTGGAAATAAAGAACTTCGCGGTGACTTTGAAATCGGTTCAGGATCCCTTTCTTGTTTTTCGGCCCAAAACTTAATTAAATCGTTAACTGGTTTTTTTGGAGGGAGGCTTGCCATTTGTTTTTTTTATTATTATTACGAAATTAGTCCAAAAAAATTAATTGTAAATATACAGAGTATACATGAATTATGTAAAGTAATGTTAATCTTTTTTTTTGCAAGGTAGAAGTTGAAAATTTTTCTTTGCTATGCGACAACAAAAAATATTATTAATAAAAATAAAAAGAAGTAAAGAATTAAAAAGGAAGAGAAACAAAGAAAGGTAAAAAAAAAAAAAAGATATATAATTATAATTATCATACCATTACTAAATAATTATTATTTTCTGTTCGATTAAACAAGGATATATTGAACTTTACGTTAAAAAATGGTACAATTCAAAAGCGGTTGTAAGGAAAAAGAAAATAAAAAGAAAAAGAGAAAGATCGTAAGGGGAAAGAATTTGTATGACCGAGTAGATATTTTCCCTTAAATCACAAGTATTTATAATTTTCTCCGCTTGATTTTTTACGCCATAATTAGGTAATTGAAAGTAATTGATTAAAGTTTTTTTTTTTTTTTCGTCTCCGTAAAAGACTTCATGTGCTAGGGGTAAAAATTCTAAATTCTGAGATTTTTTTACACAATGAATTATGTGATTCTAGTATGATTCTAATCCGAAATCACGTGATTATAATGAATCATGAAATCATCATTATCGAAAAAAAAGCAACGCGACAACGGTGAATATTTTAGCAAAATTAATGAATTATTGCTATTCTATTGTTTTTCTAAGAATTTAATTAATTATTCATTCATATATTGGAGTTCAACGAAAAAAGTATATTATTTATTAATATTGTTATTACATATTTTTTATGAGGTTTAAGTATTATAAACTTAAAGCATTTCACATTAAACACGATAATTAAAAATAATGGTCAAAAAAGAGTTCAACCATCAAGTATTTATAGCAAATCATCTCCAAGATTCATTGAAATCATTGTACAATGAAAGGTTAGAATTAGCACCCCTTATACGAAGATTTTTAAGTCGATCTTTGCGTCAAGAGATAAGCTTCAACTACAGTCAACATTTTTATAAATTTGATAAATTTGCATTTTAAGATCAATAAATTTAAGGAGTGAATTGACTATACACAGTATATATATTACCTTGTGTATTTCATTCGTTTTCTTATGAAAAATATGTAGCGCAGTAATTTTGCACTAATTATAGTAGTAATCTCCGAATATCCACCGAATAATACAAATATTTGGCGTCATGTGCCTAATTCAAAATAATAAATATTAGCAAATGCATGGAAATTAAATGTAACATAAAATGTATGCTTTATGGCATATGTCATAAATTTTTAATCGCGATTAAAACCTGTTGAATTTTGATATGGAAACAACATTATTATTTTTTTTTTGAAATTATTAAAACTAGCCTTATTTATTGCTATAATACCATAATATTGGTAATCTTCCATTTCGTAAGATGGGTAGATACTCGAAAATCAAACCGATTGAATACAGGTATTTTGTCGGATGATCTATCATCTATTATTATAACATTCGAACGAAAGATTTGAAATTCCGTTTGAATTTTTCAATTTAAAGATTTCATTAATGACTAATTTTTTTTTATAACTGTGGATTAATTAAACCAAGAACAAAGGGAAATTAAGAATCGTTACCTATCTTACCGTTAAATGATTCTCCTTTATTATGTGATTTAGAACACTGATAAGAAGCACGAGATGATGATTTATCAATTTCACGTTAGAGATTCGATTCATAACGTTTTCAAAATTCTTTCTTTCATAAGTAATTTCTTCATGAATAATGTTGGAAAATTTCATTACGTTTTAGGGTGGTCGTATGGTTTTAAGTAAGCCTTCAAAGAGTTTGTTTATTTTGTCTTTAATAATTTTTCTTAATATTTTTTTTTTTTTTTAAAGGTGACAAAATCTTTATTAAATTTTACAAATAAAAACAGAAAATGCGAAATATCTATAAATAAAATTAAAATTTTAACGAAGTCTAAACTAAATTTATCAATAGCTTACTAAGCAGCTGCATCATTCTGGTAATGTTATTTTCTTTGCTTCCAAATTTTGAAGGATCCTTGGCAGCATGTAAATCATTGATAATAGAGATGTGAGTTCCGGAAGACTTGGACATAGGTAGTATGTGTAACAATATTGTGTATTTAAATTATTTCTTGAAATTTGCAAATATACCACATAATGTAATAATTTATATTGGTATGACAAAAAATTTTTTATTTATCATCGTAAAAAAAAGAAACTTGCGTCAAATTTTGATTTACTGCGGATGATGCGGCATCTACAAATGGAGTTAATAACGAAGAAACATCTTTTGTGTTTCCACTCGATTATTGAAAGTGGACCTTTTCCAATTCATGGATACTGCATACAATATGAGTAAGAAAAGTTATTATTTTAGTTCATTAGTTAAAACTCGACAATTAAAGTATTTAAAAAAGTAAAGAAAGGTACAATTCATGCATACAATTTGATAATATGGGACCTTTGCAATAGAAAAGAGGGGAAACTTCCAGGAAAAATAAAAATAAAGTTAATGTTAAATCTGAACATATTTTGGCCTAAAAATCATAGTTTGCATATTAAAAAGTAAATTGATTTTTTCCAGCAGTTTCCCCTTTTCTATTGCAAAAGTTTAGAACAAACAAATAAGACAGTCCTTCAGTATTAGCAACGTCCAAGTTGTGAATCCCATGGCTAATTTCATATACTAAAGATATAAGGTATGTACGATAATTTAAGCATAAATTTATAATGAAAACATTTTTTTATTTTTTTACACAAATTCTTCGAAAATACTTATTATTATTCCTATATATAAAAATATAAACATGTCTCCGATTCAATTAAAAAAATGTAGCATCAAAATTAATGTAAAACATGAAAATCGAACTACGTTTCTTAAATTTATAACTGCTAGCACTTTTCGATAAAGGTCGTAACTTTTTGACGAGAAATTTCTCCGAATGATAGAACTCTAAAATTCAATTTGTATTACGAACGGAACTACTTTTTGATTAAAATTAATCTATGCAGTACTATTTTTTTTTTTGATATGAAATTTCTTTTTTTAATTTTAATGACAGAATAATTCTATTAAGGATTAGTGTAAATCTTAATTCGTCTAGATTAGTACCAATTTAATTTTATTTATATGCGCGAAAAAAAAATATACATATTCGTTTTAGCAAAATTCTTTTAAAAAAGAAATAAAATGAATTTTGATGATTTGCTTGGAAAGCAGCGTAAATCAGAACCTAGGGTGGTTCTTGTAATGCGTGTATTTGCGTTACTTATCATCTCATCATGCTTAATATCATATATCACAATTTTAATCATTGATGTAAATGATGAAATTCCTGCGATTAAAACCTCGGAAGTTCCTGTGGATTCGATTGCAATTCCCGGTAATTCTAATATATGTATTTATTATTTTCTTTCAAAAAAAAACAAGTTTTCTCATAAAAACAAATTTTTGTAATAATAGATTTCGCTTTTTCATTTGGATTTTCCTTTCAAATTTTGTGTTCTTTTAGTTGGGTTAATAATGGTATTTATTGAAATTACGAATTTGTAATTAAAATTGATTTTAATTTATTTATTTAATTATTTATTTATAGAATTTAATAATAGAAATGCGATACATAATTACTCCAAAGTATATTCAAGGATTGTATAGAGGAAGTTTTTCTTTAAATGATCAATCATATTTATTTACTTCCCCGAAACAAGATGAATGGTTAGATACTTTGGCATTTGTAGTGGTTGCTGACGATCCAAGTTTCAATGCTTTTATGATTTCCGTTTCACCTCCTTACATGCCACCTTACATACAAATTTTTGATCCGGGTAAGTGAAATCTATCTTTTGATACCACTAAAGCGTTATTTGGTAATTAAAATCTTTTTATTTTTTTTTTTTTTTTTAAAAAAAAAAAAAAATTATTAGACAATAATCCTATTAAACAATTCGATGGTACATTAGATTTATCAAAGTTAAATTCTACTTCTCGAACGACAAATAACGAACGAGAGCTATTATATAAAAATTGGTTTTTAATACGAGATAAAATGGTATTTCATACTTTATTATTTACTTTATATTATTTTTCTTTTTTTTTAAAAAAAAAAAAAATTTCAAACCTTTTTATAAAATACAAATCAAGATCGCTTTCGTTTCTTTTTTGAAATATACAAAAAAAAGTATTATCCCAAATTGGAAAAAGAATTTTGGGGTGTTTTTAGATTATAAAGTATCTACTTATATTAAAACAAAGTTGATCGTAAGTAATTTTTTTTTTAGTTTTTTAAATTATCTTAAAGAAATAGTGATTGATTTTTTTTATTTTTTTTTTTTATCGTGTAGAGGAATATTCGGTTAATGAAAGTGAATCTTATCAAGGTATGATTATAATTAAACCGGGTTCATTTATTGACTCTATGGAAACTGAACAGAGGTATTCTTTTCTTTTCTTTATGTATTTATTTTTTCTGAATTTATTAAAACTAATTTTTCGCTATTATACTTTTAAAGATCTAGTACGGTAATAATTTCTTTTTACAAAAAATTTGATAATATACTGTATATAATTAATAATTAATATACGTATAAAATAGTACTTGGGTATTATTGGAGTTATAGGCGGTAAGCAATATTATATAATTTCACACGATAAAACCTTTGAGCTAAACGTATACAAATTGTTCATAATGCAGGTGCTTGGGGGCTAGTAGCGGCATTTTATGCTTTTCTATTCGGTAATGTTCCATGGAAAAAGGAGAAAATTAAAAAATTTTCATTAATTACTAATTCCTTATCACCTATTGATTAGGCGCATCATCAATCCATCCGTGGGGTTTTATACAATCACATTGTTGTGGAATTAAACCAAAAACACAAAAAAAATTGAGAGAATCGTTATCCATTTTACCATTAATTGATGATTCTTTATCTGATCATAAAGGTACAGCGGAAGAATTTTCAGTGGAAGAATTCAATCAGATGAAAGGAAGATTGAAATCTTTAGAAACGTTATTAAGAGAATATGTTATTGATGTAAAGTATTTACAAAGCATTGAAAACTGTAATATTAGAAAAGCAGAGACGAAACTTCTTCAAGTGTATCCCTAAAACAGATTGACATTCAACCTGTTTAATTGATGCTTAAATTACGATAGAATTAATACTAATTCTAAGTTCAGAGATTACATATCCAAGCTATCAAGTTTTATTTTATTGGATTTAATATTTTGCTAATATTTACAATCTCTTGAAATTCATTTTCTTAAATGCTATCTGAATTATGATAAGTTCTCTTCATGTTACTTTTACATTAATAGTTTGATTAATCTGAGTTGATTGATATGACAGATTTATCATTCTTATCATTAGATTTCTCTTGATTTTCTTGATTATTTTCTGATGATTATGCTCTAGTGTAAATGTTTTTTTTTGATTTTATCACCTACATTTTATAATGTTTTAGAAAAATTTTATTGAGCACATTTGAACACAGTCATCCTAAAAATGAATAATATAATTAATAAATATATATTAATTATATCAATTGAAAATTTGGTTTACAGTAGTTTGAAGACTACTGAATATTTAATCTTCTTCTAAATCAAATTGAGATTTAGTTAAAGTTATTTTTGAACAGAGTTTCTAGTTAGGTTAAATTGAGATAATTGGGATTGAATGTTTTCTGATTTTCAAGTATTAGATCTTTCATGAGTCTGGTCTACTTTAGCAAGTAGTAGACAAGTATTTTCTTCTTCAATCAAGTTATACTAATAGATAATAAGAGATACAAATCTAAGTTCAATTTGATTTTAAGGTTAAAGAGTAGTCTGACTAATATTTCTCTTTAAGGAAGCTATGTTTAATTCTTCTTGTAATGAGTAATTGTTAAATTTAATCAAAGATTATATCTATATAATAAATAAAAAAAGATTATTTATAAAGTAACTAGTTTCTATAAATATAAAAATTAGTTAAGTAATTAGAGATATTTCAAATGCAATTGATTTATATTTATAACTTCAAATTAAAGAACTAATTTGAGCAATAAGATTTCAAAAAAGATCACGATCATTTAGATGAAATTAAATTTAAGAATAATTTGATTAATAATAATAAAAAGATCAAAAATAATGGCAGTATATCTGCATATTTCAAATTGAATATGATACTAATTTCACAAATTTTCAAAATTTTCAGGTTTAAAAGTATAAAGAGAATAACAAATTAGACAGGATAAATCTCTTTTAATAAGTTCTTTTAGGTCAATCTCTAATCTGTAATTGAAGTTGTGTATTTAATTATTTTATCTAAATTTATTTAAATCTACAATTCGTAACTATTCTTAAAAATTTTTATTTTTTAACAAAAATCACCAAATTGTCATTGGATTTATTTTCAGTTATCTTAATGTCTAAGTCAAAAGACTATAATATTTGATTTTACATATTAAAATTTCTAATCTTAGAATTTTCTCTAAGTTCTACAGATATCTGTTATACTTGAATCAATTTAGCAATTTATTACATCTTAAAATTTAAAATATAATTAATCAAACTCGTAATAATGAACTCAAAAATAAGTTAGTATAATGTATTATAACAAATCTTAGATAAGGGATAATATTAAAGGGAAAAATAATTTGTGTGAATTTAAATTGATTCTTTTATTTATAATACTAAAACTCATACTTGTAAAAGAGTTAATTTACAACTTAAGCAAAAAGCTATTCTATTTATACAAAATTTTAATTTGCTATAGTTAACTATTTACTATGCTATAAATTAACTAAATATAGATATACAGTCAACTCTTGATATAACGAACTCTTGATATAACGAATTTTTTGAACAAATATAATAAAAATACTCTTGTTATAGCGAATTGACCAATAAAATCTCTTAAAATCTTCACTATAGCCTTATAGCGAAGTTGAGGTCTAGGATATAGAGTTCGTTATAACAAGAGTTGACTGTATGTTCTAATAAAAATATATTTAAATATAATAAAATAATAAGAATAATATAAACTATAAAATAATAAAAAGAAATAAAATAAATTACAGATGTTAAAAGAAGTACAGGTAAAATAGAATAAATAGAATAAATAGGCTGTACAAAAAATACAGAAGAAATAAAAGAAACAGGCAAAACAGAAATTATTGTTAATCACTATTTGGTATAGTAAAGAGATTATTCAACTAAGATTATTATTGATCAGTAAATCTCACGTAATATTTAAAGCTATAATTTCTTCTGTTAACAATATATAAATTAAATTTAAAAAAAGCACTTTCTTTTTTTTATATTTCTTATCTAAATTGTAATTACTATATTAATTTATTATAGTCAAACTTTTTTTAAATAAATCTTTTAATTATAAAGTATTAAATTATAAAAATTTATTATAAGAATAAATATTAAGAAAAGATAGCTAAAAAAATCTATATAATTTTTTTTTTATTATTAAATTTACTATAATATTAAAATGTAAATTATATTAAAAATTTAGTATATAAAAAGTATTTATAATAACTTAAAATAAATACAATATTATATTACTAAAAATAGAATTTGTATTGTTTTATTCAGATCATTGCCGATCATTGCCAATCTAACTCAGCGCCTGTTTCCTAGTTTATAACAACGTTTGCAAGAATTTAATTAATACCAATTCAACAAAATAGTTTAGCCCGAGCCTAATAAGGATTAATTTAAATCTTTATTTGTCTAAATTAGTATAAATTTCTATTTAAATGTCATGTGACTAATTCATTATCTAATGTCTCGCGAAAAAAATTTTTTAATTTAAAAGTAATATAGTAAAAAGAGTGAAAAAAAAAAAATGAATTTTGATGATTTTCTTGGAAAGCACCGTAAATCTGAACCTAGGGTGGTTCTTATAATGCGTATATTCACGTTAATTATAATTTCAACTTGTTTAATTGCATACAGCATCTTTTTAATCAAAGAAGTAATAAGTGAAATTCCTGCGATTAAAACCTCGGAAGTTACTGTAGATACACTTGCAATCCCTGGTAATATCATAAAAAGAGATTTTCTTTTTTCTCATTTGTTTTAACCTCGTTAACCATAACAATTTATGCAATAATAGATATCGTGTTTGCGTTTGGCTATCCTTTTCAAGTTCATTGTTATTTTATATGGACTATTAATGGTATTTTTTTTTAAAAATCGCGAAATTTTTATTAAAGATCAATTATTAATTAATTAATAAATTTTAGGACTTTTTTCTAGAAATGAAACCTATAGTTGTACGCAGTACTTAAATATTCCAAAATATTTTGAAGGACAATATATTGGATATTTTTCTTTAAATGATCAATCAGAGTATTTTCATTACTCGAAACTTGAAATAGATAAAGAACGGTTAGATTATTTACTATTTTTAATAGTTGTTGACGATCCAAATTTTAATGCTTCCATGGTAAGCGTTTCTGTCCCACCGCCTTACACAGTTATTTTTGATTCAGGTAAATAAAGTCTCTTAAAATTTCTAAAAATTAACATTAAAAATTTTATTGATAAATTTTGTAAAAAAATTACTGTATATTAGAAAATGATCCTATTAAATTATCAGATGATACAATAGATCTTTCATTATTTGTAAATTATTCTCATGCATCAAGTTTTGAAAAAGACTTGTTATATAGTAGTATATTTGTATTTCCAGATAAAATGGTATGTATTTTTTTATATTGTATATTTCTTTTATTTGCTCTTTTTTTTTTAAAAAAAAATACTTCAGATATTAAATTTTTCCTATATCCTTTATTTCTTAATAATAATAATAATAATAATAATAAAAGCTCTCTACCATTTCTTTTTTGAAATACACAAAAAGAAATATTATTCCAAGTTGGATAAATAATGTTGGATTTTTCAATTATAAAGAAACTACTTATCTTAAAACAAAATTGGATCGTAAGCATTTATTTATTTATTTATTTAGAATTTAATATAATTTATTAATTATATTAATTATATAGAAGGATTTTATATTGGAGAAATTAAACCACAATATTATAGTATGATGATTATTAAACCAAGTTCGTTTATAAGTCATATTGAAACCGAACAGAGGTATAATTTAAATTTTTTTTTTTTCACAAAAATTTTTTAATTTCGTTAAACTAATTATGCTATAATTTTTAAAGAAGTAACACGGTAAGCGTTTTAATATAATATATTGTGAAAATTTATTATAATTAATTAATAAAAAATATACTATATAGTACCTAGGTATTTTTGGAGTTATAGGCGGTAAGTAATGATTAATAATCTGTAAACTGTACGATAAATACACTAATGTATACAAATTCCTTATAATATATATATAGGTGCTTGGGGATTAGTTGTTGGATTTTATGCTTTTCTATTCGGTAATATTCCATTGGAAGTTTCAATTTAAAAAATTTCATTAATGGCTGAACTCTTGTAACCTTTTAGGCGAGTCATTAATCCATCCGTGGGGTTTTATACAGAAAAATTGTTGTAGAATTAAACCAAAAACACAGAGTAAGTTAAGAGAATCATTATCTATTTTACCGTTAACTGATTCTTCGATATTGGATGAAAAGGATAAAGTAGAAGAAGTGTCTGTAGAAGAATTTAATCGGATGAAAGAAAAATTGAAATCTTTAGAAATTTTATTAAGAGAGTATGTTATAGATGTTAAGTTTCTACAAAGTGTTGAAAATGGTAATATTAGGGAAGCATAATATATATTATATATTTTGATAAATGCAGAGAAATATTTCTAGGTGTCCTGAGATCGTCTAAAGAATAAAATATATTGGGCATATAAAGAGTATACATCTATTAATGAAAATTTGAGCATAATGATCAATATAATTAACGTATTAGTTTTATTAATTCAACATATTAACGTTAAATAATGAACTTCCTTTTTTTTAATGGTAAACTAGTGAATGAGCCAATATATTAAAACTATGTTAAGTTTTTAAATTTTTTGATTTTAACCACTAAACTACTCACTTATAAATATAATTTCAGATTTAGGCCGTTTAAGATAGAAAATAAAAAATTTCTTTCGCAACCAATTTTTCGATTCATTAACTCGATTAATGGTTGCGCCACTAAATTTTGCCCAACCATCATTCGTTCAAATGTTACACAGAACATAACATACGTTCAGTATAGATTTTTAATTTATTTCCAAATATTAAATTTTCTCAATACATTCAATATCTAAGTAATTTAACGATTAACTACATGAAATTTATCGTCCAGACGTCCAAATTTCAACAAATTTTTAAACTTACAATTGGCAATTTTTGTTACAAACATCTTTTTATTTAAAATTAAATTTGAATTAGGTATAGACTCAGAAATTCTTCTATTAAGGATTAAAGTAAATTTATCGTATTAATGTCGTGTAAACTAATACATGTATCAATGGTATGAAATTATTGAATTTAAAACAGTGGCAATCCTCGGTAATAGAAAAGACAATACCCAATATCGAATAGAAAAACAATAGGTGTCAAAAGAATATAAATAATTTAAAATTTTTTTTTTTTTTTTGGTTAAATACTTTCGTAGAATAGTGTGAATGGTGATTTAATTATTTCAAGTTATCGATATTTTTTTTTTTCGGATCAGATAGTCTGATTAATGTAACAAGTTTAAGGCCGGGCAAAAAAATTTTTTAGATTCTCGTGACCATTTTTACAAAAACTCATGATTTTTTATAGTAAAATGTTTTATCACGTGACTTTATATAATGAAAAATCGTAATAGCTTATACTTTATTATAAAAAATTTTAACATATATTTTCGTGATTTTTTTTTGTTATTTGAAACTTGATATTCTTAGCACGTTTTTTTTTGTCAGGAACTGTCATATAACACTCACTACAATAATAATAATATCCTTCATTTACCTTACTATTTGCGTAATACAAAACATATAAAAAAAAAAAAAAGCCGGGTGACCGTGTCAATTTTAAAATTTTATGTCACGAGAATCTAAAAATTTTTATTGCCCTAATATAGATATATTAGTTTATTCATTTTCTTTCCAAAAATAATTTTTCATTAACAAATTATAGATTTTATCTTCAAATTTCTAAACTTACCCAATTGGGTAATCAAATTAGGTAATATTTTTAAAAGTTCCGAAAAAAATTATTCTATTAAGGATTAGTGCAAATTTTATTCGCCTAAATTAATGCAAATAATAATACAAATGTCATGTGCATTGATTCATACAATTCATATATATCCAATGTACGAGAAAAAATAAAAAAAATTTTTAAATCAGTAAAAATGAATTTTAGTGATTTTATTGGAAAACAGCGTAAATCAGAACCTAGAGCGGTTCTAATGATGCGTATAATCATTATCATTATAATTTCATCGTGCTTAATAGCATATATTGCAATTTTAATCAATGACGTAAATAGGGAAATTCCTGCAATTAAAACTTCGAAAGTTCCGGTAGACTCTCTCTCAATTCCCGGTAATTATAATTATTATTTTTTTTTTTTCATTTTGTCGTTTGGCTTTGTTAACCAAAAAAATTTTATGTAGATGTCCTAATTTCATTTGATCATCCTTTTCACATTTATTGTACTTTTGTATGGAATATTAATGGTATTTAAACCTCGAAATCGTACCAGAAATTTTGATTGATTGATTGGTTGATTTATTTTATATTTTTAGGATATTATTCTAGAAATGATAGCGAATCTTGTATGCAATACATCACACAACCAATTTATGTTGGCAAGACATATACTGGATATTTTTCTTTAAATGATCAATCACAGAACTTTACTCCCATGAAATCTGATGAAGAATATTTTGAATCTTTGGCAATTGTGGTTATTATTGATGACCCAAATTTTATTTACAAACCATCATTTTCTTCCGTACCTTTCGCAATAATTTTCGATTCAGGTAAGTAATATAATAATATTTTTTATAATTATTAAAGATATATCAAAGTTAATATTCTTTTTTTTTTCAAAAAATTTATTAGAGAATAATCCTATTAAATTATCAGATGGTACATTAGATTTATCAAAGACAAATTTGTCTATTGATGAAAATGAGATATTAATAAATAATGCGTTTGTATTGGCAGATAGAATGGTATATGAATATTTATTATTTTCTTTTATGGGTAAAAAAAAAAAATTGTTTTTCAGACGTTAAATTTTCTTTAATACAACAACAAAAAGTTCACTTTAGTGAATTTTACGAAACATAAAAAATTAAGTATAATTCCAAATTGGATAAGTGATATTGGATTATCTTTCAAACACAAAGAAAGTCTTTATGTTAATACAAAGTTTGTTCGTAAGTAATTTGTTACTCTTATCAATGAAAAAAGAATTTAAATATACTTATTAAAAGAATACTCTTTAATCGTTTAGAGGGAGTTTTTGTTGCCGAAAGCGAACATTTAAGTGGAATTAAAGTTAAACCTGAAACCTTTATTAATTATATTGAAACCGAACAGATGTATTATTGATTTTTTTTATTTTGTTTTTACAAAATATTTTTTTAAAATTGTCAAACTAATTTTACTTTTTTCATCTCATTTTTTTTTTAAAAGATCTATTACGGTAAGTATTTTATAATATATTTAACATAGATATAATATTGTTTTACAAATTTTAATTAATAATTATATAATAGTACTTGGGTATAATTGGAGTTATAGGAGGTAAGTAATGATTTAAAAATCTGTACACGAAATAAGATACAACGATTTAATCTAATTTCTTCTAACGCAGGTGCTTGGGGATTAGTTGTGTCATTTTATGCTTTTCTATTTGGTAATATTTCATTGGAATTTTCAATTTAAAATTTCATTAGTGACTAATTTCTAATAACCTATTAGGCGAATCATCAATCCATCCGTGGGGTTTTATACAATTTTATTGTTGTGGAATTAAGCCAAAAACTCAAAGCAAATTAAGAGAATCATTATCTATCTTGCCATTAACTGAATCTTCCTTACATAGTACAACAAACGAAATTTCTATGGAAGAAAGGTTGAGAGCTTTAGAAATTTTATTAAGAGAATATGTTATTGATGTAGAATACTTGCAAAGAATTGAAAATACTAACAGAAAAGTAGTGACCCAAAATAAGAATTGAGGCATTCTCGTTTACGCTTGCTTACTAAATTTGACCGAGAATAGAATTCGTTTAATGCCCATCCACGCATGTACAGTACTTCCTTTTTTGACATTTTTGTCACATTTATATCACTACCCCCGGACTTTAACCTTGTATATTAATTGGATTATAATCTGGATTATTGGAAGGAAGGTTTCATTTAAGAATTGCTTGTGTTGGATCATTTGTCACATAATTTTAAAGTTTCATAATTTGAAAAGATTGACCGATTGCTTTTAAATCATTTGCTAGAATTATCAACTTTAGAATTCAACTTTTCTTTATTCATTTACAGTATATACACATCACAAATTATTAAATTTGGAAAATAAAAAGTTTACCGATTTAATTTAAAGGGCGTGATATGTCACGTTTACAAAGATCCAATCGGGCGGAACAACTATAAAATACGTCAAAATGAATATTTTCGGTAAACTATATATGGACGTATTTTTAGAGATTATATAATTTATGAATCTATATTCTCAAATAAATAAGTGATTATGAGAGAATCAGAAAATGAATTAACAAAAATGAATTTTGCTTGGAAAACAGCGTAAATCAGAACCTAGGGTGGTTCTTGTAATACGTATATTTATGATACTTATAATTTCATCATGTTTAATAACATATATCGTAATTTTAATTGTTGATGTGAATGATGAAATTTCTGTGATTAAAACCTCGAAAGTTCCTGTGGATTCACTCGCAATCCCCGATAAAAAAAAAAAAATTCGCTAAATATAATGTTACTAATGTCATAGATTTCACATTTTCATTCAATTTTTCTTTTAAAATTTTGTGCTCATATATGTGGCTTGAAAATGGTATTTATATTTTTACAATGCGAAAATGTTCCAAGTAATTTGATTAAATTAATTTTTTATTTTTAAGAATTTCAAGTTAGAAAGGATGATGTATCGTGTACGCAGCACATAGTTTCTCTAAGATATCTTAAAGGAATATACAGAGGATATTTTTCTTTAAATGATCAATCACATTTATTTACTTTTTCGAAAGAAAATGAAGAACGGTTAGATTCCTTGGTACTGTTGTATTCAGTTCTTTCGTTTATGTATTTATAAACAATTTGTAAATGTAAGCAGAAGGTTTTATTGAGTAATTGTTGAATAAAAATGAAGTAATTATTACAAGAATTTATTTAATATGTCAAATGTAATCAGTGTTGCCTCAACGTCAGCGCTTTTACACTTTCGCTTTTTCAATATATTAAACATGTAAATGCCAAGTCATAAATTCTAACTACGCAATTACGAAACTGTTACATAAAAATTATATAATAAACTACTAATAAAATCGGAAATTAAAAATGAAATAATAAACTGTGTTACAAAATGCGAAATTATAAAATTTTAAAGAGCGAAAAGCGAAATTATCGCGAAGGTGTAAAGGGAAGATTGCGAAGGGAATGATTTTCAAAAAAATATATTAAAGGCGGGCGTGGATATTGAGCTGTTTTAGGATTTCTGGCTCGTATTTATAAAAGATTATTAATTAAGCCAAACTGGCGTCTTGACAAACTGGCACCGTGACAAACTGGCATCTTGACAAACTGGCACCGGCAAATGATCGTCAAAGGGACTAACTACAATTATCAAGAGCGATCTTCAAACGAAATTATGAAGATTTCGGCCGGAATTTGCATTTAATCGTAACAGTACTAACGATCCTTGTTGATGATCCAAGTTTTAATATTTCTATGATCACCACTTCTCTTTTCATGCCACCTAACATACAAATCCTTGATTCTGGTGATAAAAATCTTGGATACCTTTTATAGCTTAAAAAGTATCGGTATTGAATTTTTTTTTTTGTTTAGAAAATAACCCTATTAAGTTATCAGATGTACACTCCCCGGTCAAAAGTATTGGACCAAAAAAAAAGTTATCGCAACTTTTAAATTTATGACCAATTTTTATTTTTAAATTATAAAAAAAATTAATAAGTGAATTTGGATGAATTTTTTTTTATTTTATTCATAAAAACATGAATTTTTTATTTATAAAATTAATATTTAGTCGGATTGCCATTGCTATCTATTACAGCTTGAATTCTTCTTGGCATACTTTCTACTAAATTTTCTAAAATTTCTGGTTCAATTTCATACCACTTTTTCTCCAAAATAACCATTAATTCATTAAGATTTTTTGGTTGTGGCTTATGTTTACGGACCTTTCTTTCTAAAACATCCCACAAATGCTCAATTGGATTAAGGTCAGGTGACTGTGCAGGCCATAATATATTTGTTATTTCATTTTTTTCTATCCATTCCTTAACTGCTTTTGCCCGATGAACAGGAGCATTATCATCTTGAAAAATATACTTTAAATTGGTGTCCAACTCATCAATAAAGGGTAAAAGATTATTATTTAAGATATCAATATATACAGAACCTGTGATTCTACCAGAAACTTGAATTAAAGGCCCAATCTTATTTTTAGTAAAACATCCCCATACCATAATGCCTTGATTTCTTGACTTTATTGTAGGAATTAAACAATTTATATCATATTTTTCATGAGGACAACGCCAGACCCAGTGATGAGCATCATTTTGAAACAATAAAAAGCGAGACTCATCACTCTATATTAATGTATCCCACTCAGATTCCCAATTTTTTTTAGAATGATACTATTCTAACCTTTTTTACGATTTACTTCAGATACCAAAGGTTTTCTTTTTTCAGTATGACCATAAAAACCTTCATTATGTAAAGTACGCTTTATAGTACTAGAATTCACTGAAACTATTGATATCTGATTGAATTTTTCTGTAATTTCATCTAAAGATTGTTGTCTATCCTTTTTAACAGTTTTTACAAGATATCTAACGTTTCTCTCTGTTAATTTAGGTGGTCTGCCAGACCTAGGAGCATTGGAAATTTGGTGTTCAGTTTTATATTTTTCAATAATATTATGAATAGTTAACTTAGGATGGTCAAGAATATTTACAATATCTCGCTCAACATAACTACCTTTCCAAAGGCCAATTATTTCACCTTGCTCAAATTCAGAGAGTTCTCAGATTTTGGACATTTTAAAAAAAATTATATTCGAATACAAGAAGTTCGTAACTATGCAGGAAAAAAAAATTGACTCATTTGTATGCATTGGATCATGAGTTATAATCAGCAAAATTACGCTAATTAGTATAACGAAAATCACGTAGTCCAATACTTTTGACCAAGGAGTATACATACTGCTTAGAAATTCAGATGACAAATCTATGATGGAAGACAATCCAAGCCTACTCAATAGATCTCTTCGTTATATGTGTAATAATTAAAACGCATAAAAGTATACCTAATACCCTCACAATATAAGCAGTCAGCCTTTTATTTTTAGAATTTCTAAAATCATTGATGTTGATTGTGAGAGGAATTCTGATAACTTCATTCTAAATTACTAGGTTTGACTACTTCGTCAAAAGATAAAAATTTTCATTGATAGTAATTACATATTCTTCGTTATTAGTTCTTCTCTTTTTTTTGCTAACATCTTCGGATGTGTATCTTTCAACAACCTTAAATTAAAATCTTCATAATCTCTACGCTTCCATTTGCTAGTAGGTACGTTATCGCTAGTTTATTCAAAACAAATTGAACACTAAGCTTGGAGAGGTCTCTTCCTGTTTGTCAGTGTAGTTGGTGACTTGTAAGATGTGTAATTTATGATTTCTGTGGATGAAGTTTCCTTAAGATGACGGTGTGATAGGTGAAATTTTAGATAGATTTAATTGGTAGAATATGAAGTCCATTTTATTGTCATGTAGATCTTTTATGAAGATCAATTTG